AAACAATTTCTTAACATAAAATCCCTCAAGATAAATATTGCTGTGCATGTGAAGTATACAAGACTGGTATTTTGCTTTCTTTTCATTCATTCACCATTATTTCTTGTTCTCATTTTTCAAGATTGGACCAATTTAGAACAAACTAATAGAAGAAATTTAGGAGCCAATCATTACAAAACTGACTGAGCAACATTAGGTCATATTCTTACACATTTTAATCTTTAGGACAAAAATTAAGATGTCAGTGTTAGGCTACATAAACGGAATAACTCAGAAAAAAATGGATGTCTGCCAACTGCAGAAACATGCTGTCCAGAAAAATCACTGATTGTAAAGAACATCCTCTCTCCTTATATAAGCTACCAGATGTTGTTGAATTTAAAAAGGAAAAAAAAAAATGTTGATGAGTCATAGGGTACAACCACAGCTAAGCAAAGTTTAGCAGTTCTTTTAATTAAATCACATTGTATATGTAATAAATCATGTTACAAATTGAGAAGATATCGATTTTGTCATCAGAAATTTAAATTTGAATATTCCAAATACAATTTAAGCCATAAACCTGAATGATTTCGAAAAGTGATGCCATTTAAATCAGCTGAACACAAAATGTATGATAAAAACCAAAGCTGCATTGAAGTCAATCTAAAATATTTTCATGGTCATTTGGCTTGTGGTACCTAAAGATAACTTTATCAAGCATGTCCTGAACTGGGAGGTGCATCATCTTGTGTATTTTAAACACCCGAGAAAAATGCCCGGTACTACATGCCTATTTAGAACAACTTTATAGCTTCATATAGATGAAAGGACTTTAAGAAGTCCCCACCTTCACTTCTATGACCCTCCATTTTCCCTCTGCACACCTAAAAGCAATCTTCTGAGAAATTTATTTTAAATGTCAAAAGTTAGTAGTAGAGTGTCTGATCAGAGAATTGAGAAAAATGTCCTTTTTCTATACCACTTTCGGTTGTCTTCTTCATTTCAGTAGATTTATATTCAAGAGTAGGGATTCAGGCTTTACCTCCTGAACAGTTTAATTAAACCCTAAACCTCCACCTAATCCCAGATTTCTCTCTAACTTTCTTTACTCTTTCTTTAGAGACCTTCCATTTTTTTCTTTGCAATTTTCTGCAATTGTAAAGCAAAGCAGTCTAATAGCATCAATTCATTTTCTGGCCTTGAACATAGTTGTGTGACCCCATATAAGTGATTTTAGTTCTCTGGGTCTTATTATCTCTAAAGTGAAGATGCCAGTTCCTACCTGACTTGTGTGCTAAATCTTAAACCGAGAATTATTACTTTTATGTAGTGAATGATCCACAATAGCCGCAGTCAAATCATCCATGAAATGTCAACAAACTTAATACCTGGTCTTGATCTACCACAATATGGTTTGTTATGCTCATCATAGATCGCTTTTGAATACAAATATAATGATTTGTGCAGTCATCCAATAGCTATACACGCTGTCATTTTCTCCAGCTATTGATGAATATTCTTTGCCTGGCAGAACCAAAAGTTTTATTAAAATAAAGACAAATTACATCTATTTATTTCCAAACTACTCTGTCATTCAATATTAGATTATAAATCAGACAGCAGTTTTTATTGTAAAGTCTGTTAGTTAGCACTCATTAATCTGTTGTTTTTAAAATGCTTATTGATTTGGTAATTGTTTCCAGTGTAATATGATATATATTTATAGTGATATAAGATATAGATATATCATTGAAGTGTGGAGAATGACCTGTCTTCCCCAGCTCAGTGTGGCAAAAGGCTACCATGAAAACTATTCTGTCAGCTGCTTTTTAATTTTACATTTTGTTTTATATTAACATACTTTTTACTGCTGTAGCATTGGTTTACAACACTGTACATGTTTTGGTGGTATAGGTTCACAACTCCTCCGATATGTTACACATCATGCCCATCACCAATAATCCCCCACCAGAATCTAGTGAGTCCCCTCCCCCACTTGTGCCTACTCCCACCTTCCTCGTCTGGTATCCTCAATTGTGCAGTCAATATTGTTTTGTCTTTTGCTTTCTTTCTTTATATCCCACATATAAGCAAAATCATTCAGTATTCATCACTTCATTCAGCATAATCTTCTCCAAGATTTCATCTTTTTTATAGCTGAGTGGTATTCCACTGTGCCTATATACCACATCTACTTTATCCACTCATCTGCTTCTGGGCATTTATGCTGTTTCCATAACTTTATTGGTGACTTTCTCTCACTGGTCTTCTCTCCACATGGTTCAGAATGAATCATGTGGCATGATTGGGGCCAAGAAACAATGCAAATCTCCCCGTGTACACCTTCTTTCTATTCTCTACACACCTCCCCACACCAATGCACCAATCTTCCTTGCACAAATCTTCTTTCCTTTGTGAAATTAGCCTACCTACCAGTCTTCAAGTGCTACCTGAGGATCCTAAAGGAACTTCATGATACCAAAGTTAGTAAAACTCCCAAGTGCTATTTTTTGCCCAAGTTAGCAAGGGTGGAGAGTACAGTTTAGGGTTTTAATTTCCCACAATATACTACCTTTATTGCCAAAGTGAGGAAATACTTGCATGATGTCAGGTCTATGGAAATGGGTTAGGTTTACCTTTTCTCTCTACTGGGAAAACAAGTTCACCCCATGGGAGGCTGAGGAAAAGTCTGTTTGTGCTCTGAAAGATGGTTCCCCAGGTCCACAACTAGGAAAGATAAAATCATATTACATCCAAAGACATCCAAAAGGTAAAGGAGGCACAACAGGATTTGACTATTTGCAGTTCACATTGGGGGTGCTTGATTCAATATGTGATACATTTTAGTCCAGTAAGAAAGTGACTGCTTATAACAAGGGGTTCTAATTTGTTTAGAAGATCCCAGAGTATTACTAAATATCTTGATGGTAACTGAATCCAAATTTTCCCAATGAAATATGCCACAGCCCCATCAGCTTCACAATACCAAATTAATAAATGCATTGGTTGTTAGTTAATAAACTTTTACATTTTTGGTTTAGGGTAAATAAACTTAGTGGTATTAAATAGATTAGAGTTTTGCAAGATAAAAGGAAGTGCTATTTTTCCCAAGGTGACATTTTTGGATATCACTGTCAAAACATTGTCTAGTAGGGAAAAAAATTTCAAGAATGACTAAACATCTTGTGTATTTAATGAATTTTTACTTTTCAGCATTAAGTACCATAAGTCCTTCTCAAAAATTTGCAAAGATTAATTTCTTTTCTAATTTGAATAAATGTGACCTGCAAATATGATACCCATGTTTACTAAAATTCAGTATCTTAAAGCAAACATTAAAGTAATACATACTTTATGGATAATTTTATATTTAAAATCATATGTGTGTCTGTATTTCTCTAGGTCTTCTGATATAAATGTGGTGGAGTAAAAACTATATTTAAAACATTAATTTTGATAGTTTGATTAATTGGCCAGTTAGAATTATCAATCTATAATTTGGGTACTGATACTTTTATGGAACAAAACTAGAAGGAATTCCCTTTGCTAGTTTCCCCCTTGGGATCTGGGTGTGGTTTATTTTCTTAACTGACTGGCACAAAGATATGCAGGAAAATCTTTTACAACTAAAATTCCCTTGTTCTTACAAATAGGCTTAAGGAGGAAAAAGAAAGCCTCAGATCAAGCCTGGCTCACTCCTTTGCTTATACTAAGGCATATATTGGATTTTATCCAGGTTAACAAAAATAAAGTCACAGGGTAGATATATATACAGTAGTATATTTAAACTACTAGCTCACACAATTTTAATGGCTGACAGTATATAAAAATAGGAAAGTGGAAGAAAAACAATAAGCAGTTATGAAGCATAGTAAGTTTTTTTTACCCTTTATTAGTTTAAAGGAAGCTAGAACCAAATAATAATATGCCACATATGGTTCAGAACGAAACAAAGGCTGCTTAGTTATTTATTTTGCATTTGCTCCTTTTATGAAGCGAGGTAAAACCAGCTCTATTGGCACTCAAATTTATGTTCAATTAGAAGTCCTATAAATTAGAAAACATTTCATAAAACAGTGAAAAATGGGAAAAAATGTTATTCAGAAAAACTGTCTTAAGTATGCTTGTTTTCTATACTGGATTGTATGATCAATCCTATAAGTCTTCTTCAAAAAAATAATTTAACCTCTGTGTTCATGTTTAAGATAATATTTAATGTCTCATTCTTTGATACAAGAGGAAAATGTACACTTGCTTAGCATGAAAAAAATTTCCCTTCTCCCCCGCCAATTCTGCCATTTGCTCATGTCCAACATGAATGAAAGGATGCAGCTTCATAGGCATTAGGGCCTTGCTGCCATTGTATTTTTTCTAATTAAAATTCAGAGTATTAAACACAGTTGAGTACATCGAATGCTCATATGACATACCGTTATCACATACCGGAAGCTCCAGTCGAGAGCCCTGAGCAAAGGCTCATTTCATAACATCGTTAAGATTCATTGTACACTGTGCTTCAGAAAGGCTTTGTCAAAGCAGATAATAACGTCCTGTCAGAAATGTGTAAACAGAAATTTATATTAAATTGTCCTTTCTCTCCCTTTTTAGCATGAGACTCTATTTGATTCCCATGGGCTCATGGTTTAACTAAAAGGTTTGCAGATTGCAAAATATTAGTAAAATAGAGTATGAGGAAAAATGAAGTGAAAAAATATTTGAGTAACTAGATGGGGGTGTAGTAATCAAGCAGAATGACTGTCAAATCAAAAGAAGGTAAAACTCTGGCATATGAGGCAGACAGAAGTCACGACAAGTCACAGGCAGAGTGTTTAACTGGAATAAGTTAAGTAAAAGTATTTTTTTATTTAAGAATTTTTGGTGCTCTTTATATTACAATCTCAGGAAGGAAAGTTTTCTCATTAAGCCTTTTTTTTTATATTCTGTTGAGTGAAGACGCCTGGGGAGACAAATTTTATATGCTGGCTTCCAGACTGTAGTTGTAAGGATGTTATCTGGAAATTCAATGGTGAGACTTTACTTTTTTAGACTTGGTACTTCTTTTTGCCCTGTTCACTGATCATGCACATGTGCTGAAATAATAAAGGATTTAAAGGATTTAAATAATAGAGGATTTATTAACAAGATAAAAGGCACAGTAAGTGTAATTTAGTCATAATGGGTCATCTCATACTCAGTTATTTATTGTTCATTTAAATAGTGTCTATATATACACTAGGTATGTATGTATGTACATACGCAAAGTCTAGAGAGATCCATTCAAATGTTTGACAAGTTTCTCCACTCTTTTAGTTTTGAGCCCCTTTTGAATTGGGCTCCCTAAGTCTGCAATAACCAGAAATGCTGAGGGAGAAATACAGGGCTAGTGTAGAAATAGCTGTCGTCAACACAATATTGAATTTTATTGTACCCTTTTTGGGTTGCAAGAAATGTATTAGGAGTATTTTGTTTTTTTTTTTTTTTTTTTTTATAGAGGCATGTTTTATTTATTTATTTATTTGTTTGTTTGTTTTGTTTATACATGCACTGGGTACAGTCAGAAGCGCGGGAGGGTGAGAGAATTCACCAGAGCCAGAGCGGGGAGCAGAGCAGGCAGAAGGACCGAAGTACACTGCTGAGGGGAGCAGCGGGTGGCAGGAGAGGTCTGCGCGCCATGTGGGACCCTCCTCTGGTGGCTGGGGAGCAGCCGGGGATCGAACCCGCGCTGCAGAGGCCGCGGGTAGCTTCGCAACCCAGCGCTCAACCGCTGCGCCACCGGGGAGGCCCTAGGAGTATTTTGATTGCAAGTAACAGATATGGAATCAGGCTAATATAAGCAAAAAAGGGGGATTTATTGGTAGGATACTGGGGTAACTCAAGTAGCAAAGGGAGAGCTGTGCAATGCAGCAACTGGGAGGCAGAAATAGGGTAGCCCCAGAGCTCAGCCTGGGTATTTTCAGTGCTCTCTCTGGTAGTACATTGGCTTAAGCCCCAAATTGTTGGTCTATGTGACTGTTGGTTTAAGATTTAATTATTAGAAGAGAAAGACAAGTCTACTTTGGGTCAGAGGTCTACCTCCTGATCACTCGGCTTTGTTCAGGGTCACAGTTAGTGATCCACCATGGGGGTCTGTGGCTATATATTAAAACCATTGCTTCCAAAAGGGAAATAGTTAGGAGCTGCATGCCACTGTCATTGGTACCTGCTAGATTTCAAGCACTGACACAGAATGGTTTATAGACAGTTTGCTACTAACATAGCTAGATGGGCATAGTGAAATGACAACTCTGGAGAAAAAATTAGTATCAAGACATAGTTCTGTTTTTTGCTTCCTATTTCTTTAGTATAAAGTAGAAATCATCATAACCATTTCCATCAATGGGAAATATTTGGATTAGGAATGTAAAGTGGGGCCTCCCTGGGGCCTAGGGGTTAAGTTTCAGCACTATCACCACTATGACCTGAGTTCAATTCCCTGCCAGGGAGCTGACCCACATATGGCACAGCAGACCTCTCCTATCATGCCAGCTGCTCCCCTTAGCAGTGCATTTCAGTAGATCCACTTGTTCTGCTCTTCACTCTGCCTCTGGTGAATCCTCTCACCCCCTGCACCTCTGACCTACACTCCAGTTCTTCCACAAAATAAATATTAACAAAATAATTAAAATACTTAAAAAAAAAGAATGTACTATGCCCAGATTATTTGTGACATGGAAGACAGTTAATAAACGACAGCCCTCATTACCACTATTTCAATAACTGTTTAAGTTGAGTTCATAGTTAAGGTCTTGTGAAAAGGGTCAAGGAATTTGCATTCAAGACTTACATTCAGATCTCTGAAGTATTCATTGTAACCTAAGGCATAACTCACCACAAATAAGTTTGGAATCTCAAATCCAGCATCTAAAAAGGAAAGAAAAATTTAGTTAACATTAAGTATAAAGCCACCAGGTGCTATTGTTAATACTTAACTGAAGACTAAGGCAGAACAATTCTATTGTTCCAAAGTAAGCAGCATCCAGTGATTTAGTGCCAAAGGAAACATTCTGAAAAGCACAAAGTGCAATTCACCAAGACGGTGTTACAATACTACAATACTGAGAAGGTGTACAGGCTCTTACAACTAGGAAGCAATCTGACCCCGCTGGATAAAGGGCTGGAAAGCAAAACCTGGGAGACAAGATGAAAGGAAATAGGAATTGCTCAGTCTGAGGAAGAGAATGCTAAAGGTTATTTTAATATTAGCCCTTGAGTCCACAATGCAGGCATAATTAGCGCTTGGTCTCTATTGAGGCCAGAATGAGAAGAAATGGATTTAAATGCAGTCTGAGCTATTTAGGTTAAGCAAAGGAAGAGTTTTTGAAAGGAATATGGTGTTATTGAAAAGAATCTTTAAGGAACAGATAATAGCTCTCTTTCAGAGGTCTTGAAATAGAATAAATGTGCCTAGAGTCCAGTTTTTTTTTTTTTTTGAATTTATGCTTATTATGGCATTGCTCATGAGAAATGTCCTTGTTCACTTTTATGAAACTGTATCTTGATCCAACCAGTGGACTTACAGCGCATAGAAAGCTATCTTCATGGTGAATATTCACCATCATTTTCATCCTATGACCAATGATGCTTTCACACGAGAAACCAACTGGTTTCTGTTCACAAAATATGCTCCTGGGAGGAACTTATTTTCTAAGGGAAGGCAGCATATGCCACTGTTAGGAAGTCTGTTTGATCTCTCAAAACTAGGTTTTTTGAGAAAAATAAAGAGCAGAAGCAAGAGCAAAATAAAAGAGGACAGAGTATCCAGAAGATGTTGTATAGGAAAGTCAAGTATGAGAAAGGAACAAAAAATACAAGGTCTCAGAAATCCAGAAAGCAGAAACAGAGACTCTGTGCTTGCTAAAACAATTATCCTAGAAATCTTTGATGATAACACTAACAACTTCATGGTGAGCAAGGCAGGCCCTACCACTGGCCTGGCATCTCAGACTAGGAAATACCAGTTCAGAAGGCCAAACTTTCAGAGCTGTCATGGGATAAAAGGACGGTGGATCAGTAGGACCAGTCAGGAATCTGAGTGTCCTATTTCTGGCTGGTAAATGGGTGCAGTTTCTACACTTAGATTTGCAATTGCAGATGTTACAGATACAGTGCAAAAGCAGTGATTATAACCAGATGGCCTGAATTAAAGACTGACTCTCCACTTAGTTATGTGACTTTGGCAAGCTGTTGTGTACACTTTCCTGATCTTTGAGATGGGCATAAATAATAACACTTACCTTCGAGAACTACTGTGAGGATTAAATATGTTAATCTGTGCAGCTCTTAGGGCAGTGCTGGGCACATCGTAACCTTTTATTAGTGTTAGCTGCTATTATTTTATTAATGTTGTTGCTATAAGTGACACAAAAAACTTGCAATTACTTGGATAGGCCTGATCAATGTATTACAGCTTCAATTAAAATGTTATCTACAGTGTCTACATTAACTCTTTAGAAGATTTGTTATAATCATCTTGTCCACCTTTAAAGATATGTAGATTATATTGCCTACATCAGTAAAACAGCAGGAACAAGTTCTTGGGTCAGTAATCTGCCTAGAACCGATCTAGTCTAGAGTGAGTACATCTAGCATAGGAATGAAACTTGTTTTTAAAATAAAGAGTCACTGTCTAAATGTCACTGGCATGTTACCCATCCATAGTGCTCTCTGGTGCTAATGTTTGTTCAGCTTGCTGATGAGAACTGTAGCCAAATTATCCCAGAGGCTTTAGAGCAAATATAAGTTATAAAAATCAAGCTGAAGTCTGCCTATGCAAGTAAAAAAATACGCCTCTAGTGTTAGAATAATAAATAATAAAGCAGTTTGTTTGTCCTTTTTGGCATCAGAAGTATTCCTATTATGAGGAGGAGGTAGAGGGAAGTGTCTTGGACAAGGAAAGTCCTCCAGTACACACGTCTGAAGTCAAGTGTGAAGATGGTATCTAGAGACATTTGCTCTGCTAATTCTCTGTGTCATTGAACTTTTGTTTGGAGGTAGTGGAGAGATGTCTCGGATTTCCCCTCTGGGCGCTTTTAAAATTCAGGCTTATTGAAGGTCAGCATTGTGCATTGTCTACTAACAGCTCCTGGAAATGGTCTGAGACTCCCTCCAAGTCTTCACAGTGTCTCTTCATGGCCAGTTGGTGGGGACAGCAGCCAGGCAGGGATCCTGTGTGTCTGAGTCACCTCAGTGGAGTCAAATCCCACTTTAGCTCCTGAAATTTATTAGCTGAATTCTTTGTAGCTAAGGTGCTTAAAAGAAAAATGAAACCTAAAAATAAAAATATCCAATGCACCCCACAAAGTTCCTGTGAAAAATGCAAATTAGAAAACTTAAGATCCTCCTTTAATTTTGTAATTTTTTGGTGATCACATAATTTTTTTTCATATACTTTTTTTTTTTTAAATTGAGGTAATATCAATTTACAACCCTGCACATGATTTTGGGAAACAGGTTCACGCCTCTTCAGATGTATATTACCACACCACACCCAAAGCATCCAAAATCCTCTGCCATAAGTCATTGGGTCTCCTCCCTTTTGTGTTCCCCAGGCCTCACTCTCCTCCTCTAACAGCCTCAATTCTGCCATCTTATTTCTAGGGTTTGTTTTAGTTTCATTTGTCAGTTCCTTTTTTATATATTTTTATATTCCATGTATGAACAAAGTCACATGGCATTTGTCTTTCTTCTTCTGGCTTATTTCATTTAATACAATCCCTTCCAGTTCCATTTATGCTGTTGCAAATGGTGAGCTTTCATCTCTTTTAAAGCTGAGTACTATTCCATTGTGTTTACACACCACATCTTATTTATCCACTCATCTGTCATTGGGCACTTAGGTTGTAACTTGGCTATTGTAAATAGTGCTGTAATGAACACAGAGTGCATGTAACCTTCAAATTTGTGTTTTGCATTCTCTGGATAAATACCAAAGAGTGAAATTGTTAGATCATATGGTAGATTTAATTTTAATATTTTGATAAGCCCCCAGACTGTTTTCTTCAGGAATTGAGAAAAATCTACATCCCTGTCAACAATATATGAGAGTTCCTTCTTCTCCACACCCTCACCAACATCTGTTGTTTTTGGTATTTTTTGATATGGGCCATTTTCAAGTGAGTGATCTCCTACTGTGGTTCTGATTTGCATTTTCCGGATTATAAGTGAAGACAAACATTTTTTTCATGCGCCTAATGGTCATCTGTATGCCTTTGGAGAAGTGCCTATTTTACTCATCTGCCCATTTTTTGAATGAGTTATTTATTTTCTTTATGTTGAATTGTCTGAGTTCTTTGTAGATCTTGGATGTTAGCCCCTTATTGGATATATGAAATGCAAATCTCCCATTCAATAAGATATCTTTTCATTTTAATGATAGTTTATTTTGCTGTGCAGAAGTTTTTTGGTTTGATGTAGTCTCGTTTATTTTGTTTTTTCCCTTGCTATTAGAGTCCCCAAAGACATCACTGAAATAATGCTGTGTATTGTTTTGCTTTCCTTCTATGTATTTTATGGTTTATGATATTACATACAACTTTTTAACCCATTTTGAGTTAATTTTTATGTATGGTGTGAGTGGTCTAGTTTCATTTTTTTTGCATGTGGCTGTCCAGGTTTCAACATTTGTTGAATACTGTCTTTTCTCCATAGCATGCTCTTGGCAACTTTGTCATAGAAGAACTGTCCATTCAAGTACAGGTTAATTTCTAGGCTCTCAATTCTATTCCACAGATCTGAGAAGACCCTCCTTTTAAGGGGCTCCATCCTCCCTAGAAAGGCTGGGGAGACCACAAAGAACCTGTAGTATTAGCAAACCTCCACAGCTTCCACTTCATACAGAACACCATCAAATAGGAATTGCTTACACATAAAATACCATCCCCACACACCCCGCTCAACACAAACCAAAAATACTTACAGTCAGGTCTAAAGTCATCATTTCTTGGTGCGCTCTTCACCAACAAACTATCATTAAAAATAAAAAAAGACATCAGTGACATAAATAAAGATCTCTGAATTGAAAGTAGATTTAAACATCATTAAAACATGCCTTTAAAATATGCTCTGTTTCCCTTCAGCAGTGGAGCATCATCATAGCCCTTTAATTCATGCTTCTGTTACTCCAGCACCATATCAGTGATTCTGGATAAAAGGAAGGGAGCTGGACACTGGCACCAGGGCACATTCAGCTGCCCCTGGAGACAGGTAATGGCTGTAAGGACTCAGCACATAGCAAGACATGTCCTTCCCTTTCCTCTCTCTCAGACTAGCAGTCAAATGGATTATTTTATTCATTGAGGTCAAACCACATCACCTGAGACCAAAGGTCACCTGTTTGCAATAGTTTATGCATTTTGGAAACGTCATCCTATATTAGCAGCTCTCTTGGGCTTGTTAGGAAAGACAAAGTTAATGATGTGAGCATCCTACTCACCTGGCTACCTTAATCAGGCTGGGTTTGTATTTCTCTGGGTTGCTGAGCAGTGCTTCCATGGTCCTTCCAGTTCCAATGACATCATGACATCCTTTGCAAAGAGGACACACAAATCTAATCAAATGCATAGTCAGTGTAATAGATTTTTTATGCAGACAGATGATTGTATTTCCTATTCATAATGCATCATCATTAGAACTGCCATCAAACTGGAGTAAAAATAGGAGGCAGAGCTTGTTATATTTTTATGACAGGTGCTTCTTTCGGGAAGCAGGGTCTGGGGGAATAGATTGGCGAGTATTTCCTCCTGGAATCCTTGAGCTGTGTTGAAAAGCTAAATACGGCCTTTGGAGAGCATGTGGAGCTTCTTATTGAGTACATTTGGGCTCATGCACGCACATTCAAGGGCTAAATTTGGCCCCGAGGTTATGTAACACAATACAAGACACATGAATTTTCATGGACATGGGATGTACATCTGAATACACTGAATGAATAAACACCCTCCCTCTCCCCTCCTCCCCACTCAATAGGGTATTCTATAGCTGGAAAGTGAGATGTGTCTGGACAGCAGCTGGTCTTAGCCCGTGAATTCTGAGGGCGCAAGGCTGCAGTGGCTGAAGCTCATCTACGCCAATGAGCTGCTGCACAATTAAGTAGAATGGGCAGCAGAAATTTATTGTCCTTAGGACAGAAATCAGCTGTCAGGAGCTGATTATCAAAACAACAGGTCTGAATTTAGCTAGGGTTGGGCAATTCATTTGGCTAGAGGGTCTACTTCATGGGTTATTTTGAGCCAGAATAACTGCAGATACATATGGCACATAAGGCTCAATTGTGTAACAATTGAAAACAGTTCCTCTGAATTTCTGCCAGCTGATAGATAAGGCAGGCGTGCTCCTAAATTAAATGTTGCCATTTGCTTTATTAGTCCACTGCTGCTGTAAGACCATTCTTTCTCTTTTCTTTCTTAACTGGAAACCAAATTACATTAAATCACAGCTTTCTCCTGGATTGTCATTTTTAAACTGACTGTATTTATGATTTGGATGTTGGAGGTAGAATTGCTCAAATTCATTAGAGATCATTTGCAAACACACTGCATTAAAGATGAAAAGAATTTTAACCATGGTCTTACTGTAAAATAAATTTGATTTTGTGGGTTAGTTTCCTCTTCTGTAAAAATGTCTGATTCACATAGGTTTAAGAACCAATTCACACATATGTGAAATAAGTTATGAAAACAGGATAAAGTATGTGACTCTTATTGCAAATCCTATATTCTTATTTATTTCAAACCAGTTATTCTATCTGGCTCCTGTTTTGTAAATTTGGAGAGGCAAGTGTTTGGTGGGAGTTCAATAAACCCTGGCCAATTTGATAATAAGTTCTATATTTTAAAACTCACCATTCGATTACTTCAACCTTCAAATGTGGATAAGGAAAAGTCAGCTTACCTCAACAATAAGGACATTCTGAAATTAGAGTACAACAACAACAAACAAGTTATTTAGAATATAGTGCAAATCTGGCTCACAAAATAAAACTTTTTGTTTACAGTTAGAATTTCACAATTTGCCTGACTGGGGCTCCCCTAGCCACCAAATCCAAGATCTTGGAGGTAATCTAGGCATCCCAAGTTCATTTTAGCAGTTTCTCTGTGTAGGGTAAGGAAAAATGTCAGGCTTTTCCGCCCTCCCGCCATCAGGATAGATGATGGATCCTTGTGGTCCTGAATGCATGCCTGATGGCGGGCACCTGGAGTAGGGTGTGGGCATAGGTAGATTGGATTCACCTGGGCTAAGAATGGGCTTTTAAGGGCGGCGTCACGGGAACGCCAGTAGAAGCCGAAAAGGAAGTAGCAGAAGCCGAGAGAGAAGCAGAGAAGGCCGGAGAGCCCAGATAGAATGAAGACTTGCTGGGGGCTGGGAGGCCTGCTAGCCTCCCGGCCCCCCAGCACCCTTACCTGCTGTGTACCGGGTAAATCCCAATAAAAACCTGCAAAAAAACCACTGAGGACTCTGCCTCCTCCTTTACCCGGTCTGCTGGATTACAGAAAACCTGCTCAGTGTCATTCCTGCCCTGACAATAATCTATTCTTCATATACAGTAGGCCTATCTTAGGCCAATCAGATCATTTTCTCTTGGTATTTTAGTATAAAATTTCAGAAATGACATCATCAGAAAACCTGCACTGTGTCCCTTCCTGCTCCGACACTCTGTAATAACTAGGTGCAGCTACATTGTTGTCTATATTCAGGTTCAGACCAAGCTTATTTTAGAATCTGTGCCTGGAGATCTACCCAAAAAGCCACCCCACATCCATACTTCTGGCAAGTCTCACCCCCCCCAACATTCTTAGGGATACAAAACTCATTATTGTGAATTTACCAGGAAGACAAGCCAGCATACGCTGCATCACCAAAGGAGACAGTGCTCTGGTGCTCTGTAGAAGGATTATGCTTCAAATGGACAGTTCTACTCCTGTGTAGCCCCCAAATCACTGAGGAGTCTGTATTTACTTTCAGATTTTCAAGAGCGAGAAGGTGGGCTAGAAAGAGGGCTGTGAGGTACTTGGTTTACGTTTTTAGCGACAGGGTTATGTTCCTTGCTATGTGCTCCTAAGGCATTTCTCTATTTCTCCCATGAGAACTCTGATTATGTCTCATTTTAAATTCTTATCCAGTAAGTCCTTAGTTTTCCCACTAAACTATAAACTATAAACTCAGTATTCTCAGTCTTTAGCATAGTACCTGCATATAGATGCTCTGTCAATATTTGGTGAAGTCAGGAGTAAACAATTACTCTTATTAATGAGTTAAATTTAAACAATTAAATTGATTAGTAGTGACATGTCAGTACTGTCTCACCAAATTAAAATGACTGTGTATATTATGCCATTCCACTCCAACTAATGAAACAGTATGGATGATCCCTCAATGTAACAGCATCTTTATTTACATGGTCGTTCATTGATTCCTACGGTTGATTCATGTATTAAAAGAATTGGAGCAAACCTTACATCTTAAGAATCTTAAATCTAATCTGAAGGAGATTTAGGTAATAAAAATGTTAAGCAACTAAGCAAAAACTGTTCAGTTTTCTATTACTTTATGTGTGAAATGTATTCTTTGGTGGAAATCTCTTTCTGGAAGTGGTTTTCTCTATATTATGGTATTTTTTTAATGATTTATTTATTCATGCATACAAACACCGGGGTACAGGCCAGATGTGCGGGAGGGTGAGAGGATTCACCAGAGACAGAGCAGGGAGCAGAACAGGCAGATTTACTGAAATACACTGCTGAGGGGAGCAGCGGGAGCTACAGGAGAGGTCTGCTGCACCATGTGAGATTCTCGCCGTTGGGCCAGGATCAAACCTGTGCTGCAGAGGCTGCAGACAGCTTCATAGCACTGCGCTCAACCACCTGCGCCACCAGGGAGGACCCTATATTATGGTATTTTTAAAATTTATTAAATTCATTTTTAAAATCTTAATTTTATCATTAAAATATAAGATTATTTTGTCCATTTAGGTCATGCTCACAGTATCCTCTCTGCCCTCAGAATCATACTATAGGAGAGTCCCACTGGTATTCTGAACACATATGCTATCATCACAACACATTAATCCTAACAGTTAGTCAGGATGTGCATTTTCAGTTTGATCATGGAGCTATTAACCAGCTACACTACTTAGAGAACACTTGATCAACTTAATTTACTAATTGAGGGTCTTTTTGTTTCAATCTTATAAAGAAAACCATTCTAAACTATGTTAATGTATATTCTTGCCTTAATGAAGTGAAGTGTACTAAAATTATAGCTGTTTTTTGAAAGTTCTTTACTTTACCCAACAAAATTCATCTTTGTAAAGATTAGCTTCAGCTATAAGTTAGGGGGTGGCTGTGAAGTGGGACTTGGATACATACTAATCCAAAGATATGCTGTTAAAATTTACTTAAACACAAAGGTAACACATATAAATGTTCAAAATCAAATAGAAAAGTCTAAGGATTTTCAAAATGTTCATGTGTCAGTTTAAAATATTTAAAATGCTTGTATGCTTTAAAAGTTATGACATTATGCATAGTTATCATGCCTAACTAAAATACCATATCTAAAAAAATTGACATTTTTTTGTATGCCTATCAGTCCCCATAACCTAAAGATCCTAGTGACCGCTCCTCTCATCTTCGTATTTCAAATCCTGAATTCTCCCCACATCCAAATGTTTCGAATCTTGCTTGAAATTTCCTGATTTAAACGGCTTGAATTACATAGTCTTGAAACATCATATACTGCTTAAATTTAGAAAATTATAATGATTAATGCCATCAGCTTTTTTGAATAGGTTAACTTTTAATTTAATTAACTAGTTAGTTAATTACTATTTCCCCTACCACCATCCTGTATATCCCCTTGACCCTTCCTATCCCTCCACCCTGTTAACCTTAAAGCCTTCATGGAGTTTATTAATGTCCACTAGTTTTTGTGTTTTACTTTACAAATCATCTAGCAAGTGTCCAATATAGTCTTTTGAACTGTATTTATTTCCTCTGATTTTTATGATATCCTTTCATCTAATTTTGTGTCTTTTTGTTCTTCTACTTGAAGTTGCTTTAGGTGTAGTATTAAGTTGCTTATTTGGGATTTTTCTTGCTTCTTAATGTGGGCCTGTATTGCAATTATCTTCTCGCCTTAGACTTCCATAAAGTCTGGTAATTTGTATCCTCACTTTCACTAATCTCAAGGTATTTTTGATCTCTGTTTTAATTTTCTCTTTTATCCAATAACTTTTAGGTAGCATATTGTTTAGTTTCCATGTATTCCTCGTTTTTCCTGTCTTCTTCTTCTGCTTCTGCTTCTGCTTCTTGTAGTTGATTTCTAAATTTGTGGTGTTATGGTCAGAGAAAATCTTGGTAAAATTTTGATCTTTGTAGTTTGACAATTATGTTGTATCCCAACATATGGTTTATTCTAGAAAACGTCCTATGTATACTTCACAAAAATGTGTATGCAGCAATTTTTGGATAAAGTGTTCTAAAGATGTCTGTAGACCTACAACTCCTCATTTAAAACTGTTGTCTATTTATATTTTGACTCGCTGGTCTGTCCATTATTGTAGGTAGTGTGTAAGTTCTAGTTTTATTGTGTTGTTATCAATATCTCTCAAGTTCTGTTATTAAATGTATTATGGATGCTAGTGCTCCATCACTTGGTGCATATATATTTATGAGTGTTAATTCTTCTTGTTTTATTAGGCCTTTAATTATAATATGGTGCCTGTCTATCTCGTATTACCTCTTTTATTTGGAAGTCTATTTTATCTAATATAATTATAGCTGTTTCTTATTTTGTTTATTGTCATCTGCTTGGAGGACTATTTTCCAGATTTCAAGTATCTGCTTGTCTTTGTTAGTAATATGGGTTTCTAATAAACAGCAGAAGATTGGACTTTCTTTTTTTTTTAAAGATTGGCAAGGATTGGAGAGATTTTTTTTTTTTTTTAAGATTTATTTATTTATACAAGCACTGGGTACAGTCAGAAGCGAGGGAGGGTGAGAGAATTCACCAGAGCCAGAGCAGGGAGCAGAGTAGGCAGAAGGACCGAAGTACACTGCTGAGGGGAGCAGCGGGCGGCAGGAGAGGTCTGCGCGCCATGTGGGACCCTCCTCCCGTGGCCGGGGAGCAGCCGGGGATTGAACCGGCGCGGCAGAGGCTGTGGGCAGCTTCGCAACCCAGCGCTCAACCGCTGCGCCACCGGGGAGGCCCTGGACTTTCTTTTGAAATCCATTCAAGCACTATACATTTAAGGTTATTATTGGGATAGAAGTGCTGGTTGCCATTTTGTTAAATTTGGGGGAATTGCTTTGTCTCTTTATTTTTTGAGGTCTTCCTTTATGTTTTATGTTACATTTCCATTGTCTTATGTTTCACCTTCATTATTTTTTGTTTAAAAGTTCTGCTGAGGCTAGTACTTAATAGTGGGGAGTTCTGGTTTCTGACTCATTCTGACAGACTCCTCCTCCATGTTTTATGATTTAGGTATCTGGTACTTCTATATTCTTTCTTCTGTTGCTTTATAATAACCCCATTAAGACTGCTTTCATGTGTGGTTTGGTGTGGATAAATTATTTTAGTATTAGCTTTTCAGTGAAGCCCTTTTCCTTCTATACTGAATGTCAGTCTTACAGGCTCAGGAATTCAGAGTGGGAAATATTTCTCTTTAAGCATTTAAAATCTGTTCTACCAGGGCCTCCCTGGTGGCGCAAGGGGTTAAGCACTGCACTATGAAGCAATCCACAGCCTCTGTAGCATGAGTTCGATTCCTGGCTGGCCAGGGAGCAACCCACATGGTGCGGCAGACCTCTCCTGTCTTGCCTGCTGCTCCCCTCAGCAGTGTATTTCAATCAGTCTGCCTGTTCTGTTCTCCTTTCTGTCTCTGATGAATTCTCTCACCCTCCCACACCTCT